TGTCGCAAACTAAAATCTCTCTAAAATCGTTATTTATCAACAATAGTTGAATTTTCTTTCATATCTACGTTTGTACGTTTAGAGAGCATCGAATGATGTGACGAGTTCACACTACACCGTGATGTGTTTTGTCTTGTAAAATAATTATCTCCAAATGTTTGAACTATGTGGTTAGGATGTTTAGGTATACCGTATAATAAATCACACTTTATCTCACTAACCATATATTACCGTGAAATTGATTTCAGCTAACTTTTGAAAGTGTGGTTACTGATTTTAATAGTAAAAATTTAATATTCTACAATAACATGATACATAATAGTTTAATACTTACTGGTTGCAAATATATATAGCTTAATAATTTAATATTTATCAACTATTATTTACTATACATTCATGTGTAAATACATAGATACCTATGTTATTTGTTAAATTAAATATTTTATACATTCTTTATTTGTACATGATTTATAAGATAAACTGTAATACATAGTACTCGTAGTATCATCGTTTTTACAAATTTTACTTAAAACAGTTACAAATAAATTAAAGAGGTTATATAATATAACCGTATCCTTGGATTTCACTGATCCATCAACCACACTTGGTGAACAATTAAGTATCGTATCTTTCTTTGCCATTGATTCTTCTGAAATAAAAGAAATTTAATTACCATATTGACAATTTATAAAGGATTTAAAATTTTGGCTATTTCTTTATTGAAGTTAAATGAAAGAAGCATTTATTTCTAAAGCGAATGTAATTTATTATAACATTTGAACGGTGTATAAATTCAGGATAGTCAATATGATACTAAATTAATTTAAATGAAATTTTCAATTCTAGCATAAGTTTTAATTATTCGTAGTTCTGATTTTAAAAAGACAGTTAATATGTCATATTCTGAGTGAGTATTCATTAAATGTGGTATTTATATAATAGGAAATATCTAAAAAAAAATATTGAATAGACGTTAAACATTGAATTTGAGAAATACTATAAGTAATCTAAATTAAGGCAACATATTCAAATTTCAACTGAATAAGAAAATAAAACAAAATATATCATATCAAAAGTTACTTTTTCGTTCATCCACAGGAATAATCGATTTAATTAACGGTTTATTTTCATTAAATTGAACGAAAGAACTAGAAGATTGAATTGATGAAGATAAGGGCTGAGTAATAGAAGACTCCAAATCAATGGTTGATTCCAACAATTCATTGATTTTCATGATTTTAACATTTTGTTTTTCAGATGGATTAACTTTGTTATCATCATCGGTAGAAGTGTTTTCTGACAGTGTTTTTAAATTCTCTGAAACATGAAATGTATGTTATTTTATTACAGCTATTGATCCGGTGTTTTCCCCTATTTTAACAAATACTAACTCTCTAGGTTATTAATTGGTGCCGTCAAATTAACTAACGGTTGCTCATTATTATTTTTCTTATTCATTTCTTCTTTTGAATTATTTGAACTTGTAGATGAAGTCACATTACCCTCAACTTTAAAACCGTCTTCTTTTTTCGATTGTAAAATCTTGGTATTTGATGATTTTTCTTTCTTGCCATGATCAATACTTTCTTGTATCGGAGAATTATCCGAAGGAATGTTGTCTTTGGAAAAACATTTGTTAGGTTCTTTACCTGTAGGTTCGGTTTTCGTCACAATATCAACAGTTGAAGTTTGTTCCTCCAATATGGATTTATCTTTTATTGTATCGGGTTCTTCTGAAATTCAAAAGTAATTAGTTAGTAAATACCAATAAGAAAATTATTTGTGAATTATGTTGCCTATATCGAAATTACTTTTTGATCCTACAACAGGAACGGTTGTTTCAAATAATAATTTGTTTTCATTTTCCTGAATCTGCGTACTAGATAGAATTGTCGAAGTCGTAGGCTGATTATTAGAATTTTCCAATACGACGTTAGATTCATGTAATTCTTTGCTTTTCTCTCCATTTTCTTTTTTACCCTCTATATTTTTACTAGGAATTTCTTTCGAAAAGTTATTTGCAACCGACGGTTGTTTTAAAGATGTATCAATCATCTCATTTTCCTGTGCCGTTGATTCTTCTGAAATATGGAAATTTTAATTATCAAATAGCTTTTAAAAATAGCTTTCGTTATTTCGGTTATTTTGGTTTTTATTTTGTTTGACCATTACCAATCCTATAATTTTGTTGCTTTTGACCAGCGAAATACTACTTAGTACACCTAAATTTTTTAGTATTTACATCAAAAACTTACTACTCATTATCATCGCTTCGTTTTCTTCAACGATATCTGACCATTTTTTAGATGAATATTCCATTAGTTTTTTGGTTTTTGGAAGAGGCTTGTCGGATTGCATATCTATGGCATCACAATTGGTAGAAGTGTTTTCTGACGGTGTTATTAAATCTTCTGAAACATGAAATGTATGTTATTTTATTACAGCTATTGATCCGGTGTTTGTCCCCTATTTTAACAAATACTCACT